GATTGAAAAACTTTTAAATGAAATGGACTAAATTGAAACGTTTAAATATTATTGGAAACAACTTAAATATGCACGGATGTGAATGAAGGGGTTTAAAAGCTCATGTAACCAATTAAGGTAAATTGAAAGTGAGGGATCAGATTGAAAAATTTTTTAAATAAAATGGACTAAATAGAAACGTTTAAAATTATGTGGACCAGACTCGTTTGAATCTTAAAGTAAAACTTCAATGACAGAATTGAATTAGATTGAATCTTAAAGGACTCAATTGCATAAAATTGAAATTGTTGGGTGAAATTAATAATATTTTTTTAAATGATGACTTTGTCAATGATGATTAATTAAGATAAGTCAAATTCAAGTTAATAAAATATATAATTATTCTTTGATTTAATTTCATTTGACATTAAAAAAAAAAGATAGTATAATGTAATATTAAATTAATAGATAGATCTAGCAAATAAAATATCTCTTAAATTAAATAAATTTTAAATTATTTTAACAAAATAATAAATTGCTACAACTACACCTCTGTTTCATGCATATGCAAGTCTTTTCTCTATCATTTTCCTTATTAAAAAGGGCCCACACTCAGAATCCTAATTCATTCTGAATTTCAAGATTTTTTTTTTTGAGAAATTAATCACATTCAATATTAAGATTTAGAAGGTAGTATTATACTGAGAAGGATTGTATTTATTTAACTATCCAAATTTGATTTATTTAATTTTAACAGTTGTGTATTATTAATGGTTAAAATGAAATACTAGTTTTAGTTAAATCTCTTTTGTCAAGTTTAACATAAAAAATTAGTAACATAGAATGGATGAAGTGTTGATTACTCACTTAAAATTTTAAAACTAAAAGATTTGAAAAATTAAGTATTATGATTTGAAAAATTAGAATTGCCACACGTCCAAATTATAAAATTAGAAATGTCACCAAAAACATGGTCTATATAAAAAACAATGTCTAAGGGTACAATTAGAAGTGAGAAAGAATATAAATACACCTCACAATCCCCTATATAACATATGGTTACATACTTTAACATTGTAGAGTTTATTCCAACTTTTAAAACTTTTCTTTTTTAGTGAAAAAGGATTATTGGAAACAATTTAAATATGCATGGATGTGAATGAAGGGGTTTAAAAGATCATGCACCCAATTAAAGTAAATTGAAAGTGAGGGATCAGATTGAAACAATTTAAAAGGAAATGGACTAAATTGAAATGTTTAAAACTATATGGATCAGACTCTGATAAAGTAAAACTTCAAGGACAGAATTGAATTAGATTGAAACTTAAAGGACTCAATTGCATAAAATTGAAATCTTTTGGTGAAATTAACAATATATTTTTTTAAATGGTGACTTTGTCAATGATGATTAATTAAGATAAGTCAAATTCAAGTTAATAAAATAAGTAATTGTTCTTTCATTTAATTTCATTAGCCATTAAAAAAAATGCTATAACTATAATACCATATAAGTTATAAACTTACAATCATGATATTGTATTAAATAAATATAATGTAATATTAAATTAGTAAATATATCTAATATCAATATATCTAATATCACGATAGATTCTAAAAAAAAAAAAATTAATTATATAATAATATATTATATTATAAAAACTTAAAAAATCATGTAACATTATATTTGTAACATTTTTTTTTAAAAAAAAAGTGGGCTTCTTTGTTCCTTTTTCTCCTTTTTATTTCAAATAAGTTCGGGCCTCCAAATGGGCACGTGAAGGGTCTAAAAATATTTTGCTTAAACAGGGTTCAGAAACATAAGTTCATGACATCGGGTCGGGCCTAAAGTGGTCCAACTCATTATATAAAAACAACCGGGTCAAGCTTGATTCGTGCGAGTAAACCTAATCCATAAACAACATCCATCGAATCCTTAAGATCCGACTGAATCCAAAGGGTAAATGACTCAGAAAAAAAAAAAACTTTTGAGTTTATCTGTCCCCTTCAATGAGGCCCAAGAAACCCAGAAAAAAGAGAGACTGTTGCAAAAAATGGAAAAATAACACAGCAGCCCAAAGCACTGAACGCAAATGGGCGTACAAAACAACAACGAATCCTTCTAAAAATTGCTAACCCGATTTATTTGTTTCCTTATGGAAAACAACACCGTTTTTTAACCCTAATTTTGCATGTTAGTCCGTGTTGACGATTACTTAAGATTTTTCAAAATAAATGAAAAATTAAGTGTAAAAATAAAAATGGAAGAAGTTGCCACTCATCTAAATTATAAGGTGGGACAAGTCACTTAAAATAGGTTTGCGCAGAGATTGGGGTTCAGAGGTTTGGTTAAAAGTAAGGAAAAGCATATGTGCACGTCACAATCTTCCGTTTAAATATGGTTGCATACTTTAAAATTTAGATTTTAATTCAACTTATTCATCATATTTATGCTTAAATCTTAGCTGGCAAAACTTAAGAAAAAAGATAAACCAAATTGAAACATTTCTTTTTTTAATTTTTTTTTAGACTAAAATGGACAAAATTAAGAACATGCATGAATCATAAGCATAAATAAAAATTAAAGGGACTAATTTGATTAAATTTGAAAATATGAAGGACTGATTTGATTAAATTCAAAACATGAAGACTGTCTTGATTAAATTCACAAACATAGAGGACTGATTTGAAAAGATTTGAAACCTAGGACTAAATTGCTTAATCATAAAAGTTTTGAGTGAAATTGAAATGAAGAAAGATAATTTTGACTTTGACTAATATTAAAGGAAATCAAGGATTTAAATTAATTAATTATGATGATTGACTTAATTAAATGATTAATTAAAATTAATTAAAATTAATTAATCACATTATTTATCTTTAATTAAGATAATTAAATAATATAATTATCTTAAATTGAGATTAATAAATATAATTAATTTATTTTAATTAAAATTAATCAATTTTATTAATCATAAATTAAGTAAATTATCTTAATTAATTAATTTTTTTTTTTTTACCTTTTTTTCTTGCTTTAGTTTTTATATTTTTTTTTACTGGATTGACCCAACCCGAAAACATAAACTGTCAAGCAAAACATGTAAGAAATAGATTAAACATCAAATGAGAATGAAATCGTTCATGTCATTTCCAGCAAAGACATACTAACATCCAGTGCCTAATGAGAAGAAAACAAACAACATGGCAGATCCTTAAAGGAAAAATAGATTTGGGTTTGACCACCCACGGGATCAAGCTCCCACCATTCCCTTCACCATTTCCCTAAAAGGACCCTCTGTTTCGAAGATTACCTAAAGCAAGTGAGACTTAGAGCATGCAACTCTTTTGAAACCCAATAAAAAAATCGGAAGCTCCTCTGGAAGCTCTGGAAATTCAGGATCCTCTTCCTCTTACTGCCACCTCTAACAATACCCAAATTCAGGCCGAAAGAACCCCAGGAATCAACCAAAAGAAAAATCCCTCCCTCTTTCGGACTTCTGTCTTCTGCTTCGCTTTTTTTTGTTTACAGTGACCAGAAGAAAAATGAAACACAGAAAAGAACAACCCAACAGAGAAAAACCGAAAGAAAACTTAAAAAAAAAAAAAAACAAACTAAACTCGAAATCAACTCCCCCCACGCCTCTCTGTACTCTGCTTTCTGCTCTCTATATATATACCCAAACAACCAAATAAAACAAAAATGAAAAGGCCTTGCTCCGTCAATCACTAATGATGCCAATTTTGTTTGGTACTGGTTGTTTTTTTCTGTATGGCTGTAGAGTGCAGGAGGTGCAGCAGCAGGGGCGCAGTGGCATGGGATTGGGGCGCAGAGTGTAGGAGGCGCAGCAGCAGGGGCGCAGGCGGCAAGGGCAGGGCTCGGTGTAGCAGAGGGGGGCCTGGCTCTGTGTGCAAGGGGTGCATGGGATCTGGGCGCAGAGCAGGGAGCAGGGGCGCAAGCGCAATGTGCAAGGCTGGTGCAGCAAGCGGGCTCAGGCGAGTGCAAAGGCGCAAGCGCAAGGCTTGGGTGTAGGAGTAGGACGATGCAGGCAGGCAGGGGGCACAGAGCAAGGGGTGTAGGAGCAAGGGGATCTGGGCATGGTCGGGCGCAGGGGCAAAAAAAAAAGAAAAGAGCGCAGAGCAAGGGAAAGCTCTCCCTTTTTTTTTTTCTTAATTGGGGTTAGGGTTTTGAGTTTGAAGTTTAGGTTTTTGGATTTGGGCTAAATGAGTTATGTTATGGGTTTTTGGGTTTGGGTAATTGTGGGTTTTGGGTTTTGGGTATTTATGGATTTTGTTTTTTTTTTTCGGCTTTTTGGGTAATTGGGTTTGAGTTTGGGTTTTGGTTTGGGGTTGATGGGTTTTGGGCTAGACTTGTAAATTTGTTTTAATGAACTTCACTCCTCTAACTTTGGATTTCTTCAATTGAGTCCCTTGTTTTAATTTCTTTCATCTCTCTTTTCCAATTTTCTTCGCAAAAATCTTCCATTTTGCTCATGAACCTAATACGGAAAACAAAGACAAAACATATTAGTTAAAAAAAATAAAAATAAAATAAAATTCTACTAAAATTTGAGTTATGATAGTTCGTGACTTATTTTCACTTCTCACTTTGGTCCATCATTTCTTGTAGTGTTAAATTTCAGTCCTGGAAAAACAACTCCCACATTTTAAATATTTTCAATCAAGTATGAAATATGATTAATTCAATTTAATCCTGATTTTTGGGGAAGCTCGAGAAGAAAACATATGGGCTGTAAAATGCATAATGCGGGCTTTTGAGCTCACATCTGGGTTGAAAATCAATTACCATAAAAGCTAACTACTTGGTATTCATACAGATATGGAATGGCTACAGAAAATGGCTTGGTCTTTAAATTGTGAAGTTGGTGAAATGCCCTTCAAATACTTAGGAGTGCCTGTAGGTGGAAACCAAAAGGGTTTAAGAATGTGGCAGCCTTTAATTGACTCAATAAAGAAGAAATTGTCAGGTTGGAAAAATAGGTGGCTGTCGTTCGGTGGCAGGATCACACTTCTCAACTCTGTGCTCACGTCACTCCCTGTTTTTCTCCTATCAGTCTACCTCGCTCCAAAAGGTATTGTGAAAACTATTGATAGAATTAGAAGTAATTTTTTATGGGGAGGGAGGGGGGAGACTAGGAAAATACACTGGGTAAATTGGAAACTAGTGTGTAGAAGCAAACAAGAAGGAGGTCTAGGAGTGAAGGACATTAGGCTTTTTGACTTGGCGCTCTTAGGTAAATGGTGGGGTAGACTAACAGAGGGAAAGGAGAACTTATGGTTTAGGCTAATTGAAGAAAAATATGGGTCTAGAAAAGATAATTGGTGTGGCTGGGTGAGGGAAGGTAAAGGTAGTGGGTCTGGATGGTGGAGGGATATATGTAGGTTGGATGTTTTGGAAGATAATAGAAGAGGGTGGTTATTGGATGGTTATGAGCTTAAGGTTGGCAAAGGAAATAGTGTTAGCTTTTGGAAGGATAGTTGGAGCAATGCAGGAGTGCTTGCTAATGCTTTCCCAAGATTATACATGCTATCTATAGGAAAGGAAAGCTGTATACAGGAAATGGGTAGCTGGAAAGGTGAAACATGGTCGTGGAACTTTGAATGGAGGCGAAGCTTGTTTTCCTGGGAGGCCGAATCACTACAGGATTTAAAGCAATGGATCGATATGACTGAATTCCCAAAAGACAAGGAGGATACTTGGATCTGGAAGGCAGAGAGGAAAGGATTATACACAACGAAATCAGGATACAGCAAACTTGTCCATCAACAACCTTCATCACAAGAATCATTATTTATAAGGTTATGGAACAGTCACATTCCTAACAAAGTTTATGGGTTTGCGTGGTTATTATTGCATGACAGGATTCCATCAAAGCTCAATCTGTTCAAAAGAGGAATAGTCACAGAAATAGAAGCAACTACATGCGGGTATGCAACAAATGTGTGGAAGATGGTGACCACCTTTTCCTCCATTGTATAATTGCTTCAGCAATTTGGATAAAATGCATTCAATGGTGGGGTCTAAGCACTGTACTTGTTGGAACATGTAGGGATTCTTTTATGCAGCATGAAGACATGGTATCCAAAGCAAATAACCGACTGGGCTGGGCTGCTGTTTGGTATTCTTTGGTATGGACAACTTGGAATACCAGGAATGAGGTAGTATTCAAAGGGGGCCATGCGAATGTGGATCGGATGTTTGATCAAATACAAGTGAGGTCTTTTTTGTGGATAAAAAATATAGGGAAAGGAGGAAGTTTTACTTTTTCGGATTGGATTCTAAATCTCAACGGTTGTAAAATCTCTTAAGGGACCATACAATATGCCATCAATTGGCAGGGCAACGTTTGAGTCATAGTATGCTTTTTTGATGTAAATGGGTTTAAGTATCCCTTATACTCAAAAATATAATCTTTTTGGCCTTTAAAAAAAAAATTTAATCTTGATTTTTCTTTGACAAAATTTCCGAATTAACTCCCCACATCACGTAAAAGCTCAAAATTTTCAAAATTTTTCACTTATACTTAGGAATTTGGCAGAAATTAATATTTTTAAAAAATCAAGATTTTTGACAAAAATATCAAAAGGGATAGAAAAAATTGGGTTATGACATGAAGAAACAATTTTGAAACGTGAGTGGATGGAAGGGCTAGAGACTTAAACATACTTTAGGGATCTCATTTTCAATGTTCAAGGAAAATTTGATTAAAAAAAGTTCTTAAGTTTTAAGAACTTTTTTAATCTATATTCACATGTTAAGAATATATTAGTTATATTTTTTTATAATAAATTTTTATAAAAGTATATAAGAGTAAACATTATTTTTAATATTGATGTCATGTGAATGATTTCAATTGAGTAATTTATAATATTAGTATAATCTAAAAGAGAAAAGTGAAAACTAACTTTTTTTTTTTTCCATATTTGCTTTTGTTCAATTCTACAGATAGTAAAGATGAGACATTAAGAAATTTTATCTCATTCTTATTTACGATTTCAATAGAATAGCCATTATGAGAGATACTATTAATGTTTGGTAGATTTTAATGTGATCAACTATAATGATCACATGCATGAGCATCAAACTTGAGAAATTCTATCTTTTTTTTTTTTTATTAACTAAAAGAATTTTATTATTTTTGATAATCCTACCTATATATTTACACAAAAATTTTTCCTTTCTTACTCTTAACATTTCATTTGACAAACCATCAATTGCTTTCTCAAATTGCAGCCGAACATTCATAAGGCCTATTTCTCCAATCAAACAAAGAACATAGAAATCCCGTTGATCTATCTTTCAGCCTTAAAAACGATCGAACTCGAATGGCCTCAAATACATCCTACATTGAAGTATCCTGCCCCTTGAAAATGAAGTTATTGCGCGCATTCCATAAAGACCGTGCTATTACAAGAAATAAAAAGGTTAAACCCTTATTTTGGTCTCTGAACTATTGTACGGACTCCCAATTTAGTCCCTAAACTAAAAAAATTCTTAATTTGGTCCTTGAATTATTGTACGGACCCCTGAATTGGTCCCTAAACTATGGTACGGACCCCCGAGTTAGTCCCTAAACTATTATATGGATCCTCAATTTGGTCCCTACTGTTTACCAATTTAGCCCCAACTTGGTCCTTCTGTTAAATAATAGCTCAGGACCAAATTGGGGTGAAATTGTAAACAATAAGGACCAAATTGGAGGTCCATACAATAGTTCAAGGACCAATTTAGGCCAAATTATAAACAGTGGGGACCAAATCGGAGTCCGTACAATAGTTTAGGGATCAAATCAGGGATTTCTTTAGTTCAAGGATCAAATCGGAGGTCTGTATAATAGTTCAGGGACCAAAATGGAGATTTAACCAAATAAAAATGCCCACGCTCGTTTCACCTTGATCTTTCTAGCTACGCCCAAGCACCATCTGATTAAATGCTTCCTGAATTGACCTTGGCAAAGCAGCACGTAATCCCCATCATTCCAGACATTTCATCCACACTTGATATGCAAAATCACATCTGAGAATGGCATGATCCCCCTCCTCTGCTTCCTCTCAACATCTTAAGCATTTTTTGCATCCTGCATCCACTTGGACTCCTCGTTTAAGCAGATTGACTTTCGAAAATAACCTGTCCAAAAACATTCTCCGAGCAAATTAAGAAGCTAACTCTGCCAGAAGAAGATTGTCCCAAATGGCTTTTCAAAATACATACGATCCAAGATCCTGTAAGTCGGCATTGTTAAAAAATTTGCTTTCTTGACCAAATGTACCCCACCACCATCAAATTTCCACACCCTCTTATCTTCTTTCCCTTCTAAAATCTTAGCACCTCTTAACGGATCTAGTAGTTTACTTTCTTCCTTACATAGTCACATTCCCTCCCAAACGGGCATCTTCTCCAATCAGGACTCCATTTCCACTCTCCTTCACCTAAGAAACTCTATCGCATTCTCCTTTATGATTTGCAAATGGTCATATTACATGAGCGTATTTGAGATAATTCGCTACTTGAACAGAAGTGTCTTGTAGAAAATTTTTGAATAATTGAGATTTTATGTAAATATAATATATAAAACTTATGTGCATTATTTTTTAAACTGAATTAGACCAAACGGTCAGGCCAATTAAACCAACACTCAATGGCTTAAATGGTTTGAGTGAATATTTAGAACCATTTAGGTGATTAAATCATTTAAAACCATCAAAACCATTTAAGTCAAAATTAACCAATAAACCATCCAGCTAGACTGCTTAATTCTTGGGGATAAAAAGCCCAAAGATTGTCCCCAACGAGGATCAAACTTGCAATTTCAAAAAATTTAGTTCAGGAATTTGCCAGTAGAGCAATGACCTATTTTGTGATATTATCTCCTTGAACTATTATTTATTTCATAATAGTTCTCAAAAATTTAAAATAAATTGTTGAATGGTATTAGGAGAGTCAAACTCCCAACCCTTTACAAGAAGTTTAGTTCAACAATTTGCCAGTAGAGCAATGACCTATTTTGTGACATTAGCTCCTTGGTCTGTTATTTAATTATTTCATAATAGCTCCCAAAAATTAAAAATAAATTGTTGAATGGTATTAGGAGAGTCGAACTCCCCACCCTCTAGTTACAGAATAAAATTTATACCAATTAATACATAATAATTTCAATTAGTGATTGTGATTTAAAATATATTTATTCTATGTAAAATCCTATTAATGTAAAGACGTGATTCCATGAATTCGAACTATCAGCCTCAGACGTCAAGACATGTGCCGTACAACTAAAGCCACCTTCATGGATGTGAAATAATTTGCACAAAAATATATTAAGGTCAAGCTGGCAAACCAGCAATTTTTCTAGTTGAACCAGTTACATTGCTTAAATTGAGAATTAGAGGTCAAAAATCAAAATAGTTTCACCTCTTGTTTAGTTTTAAAAATATTGTTTGTGGGTAAGTAGTTCTTTATATATATATATATATATATATATAAATGGAGAGAGAGGGAGAGATAGATGGTCGCTGATTTGACGAACGATAGAAAAAGATAACCAACCCCCCCACTCCACGATGCAACGCCCACATGCCTTTTTCCTTAGATGGATAAGGTGCTGGAGGTGGAACACT